GATCGCTTACGAGAAATGCTTCTACGTGGTGTGCGCGATCTCTTACGGTCGTTACGAAGACTAAGATAACGCGTGAGTGTGTGACATAAGTCGTTTATATCATTCTGAGTCGTTTGAGGTTTTTCTTTGACTGAAAATACCTCGGTAGTAGACTTCGTAATTTCTAAAATGTGGTCGGCAGATGCAGCTAGCTCGTCTAAGGCATTGTTCTGGAACGAGACCAGAACTGCTTGCACCTGTTGGGGAAGTTTTGACAAGAAAAGTTGTTTGAATAGGCCTTCGTCGAAAGTTCTTGGGCCTATAACCTCTCTCATCCGTTGCAACATGTCCGTCGCAGAACCGTGTTGCAGGTGGATATTGTTGAAGAGTTGGTCTAACCTTTGTCGATCGGTTAGGTCTCCTCGTTTAAGAACCGAGCGTTTTAAGATTTCGTAAGGATCGGAAACATCACTAGTAAACATACTAGGTGTTACGTACCTGTTGAATTCGCGCGGTAGTGCCTTGACTACTGCGAGGAATTGTGCACGTGTGTCGATCACGCCGTGCTCGGAGAAGTCGGCTTCAGCGTAGCAAAACCAGGCTTCGATGTTGTCGGGCCAGAAAGGCGTCAGTTGAAACGAAGGCGGGGACAAAGTCTTAAGCTTGAGTACTTTAGGTGTCTGTTCAGTCATGATGAAGTATGAAGTACGATAATGAACGAGGGGAAAATATATATATCCAGGAAAAAACACGAAAAAAAAAATCACAATGTTTAAAAAAATAAAAAAATAGGGCAATGATATATAAAAATCCCAAAATGGAACAGACTCACAGTTGCAATTAGGTGTACCAGATCACGTCGGTTTCACCAATGATGATGTCACAGGTATTCAGTGTTTGACAACGCTTCTACCAGTAACACCTTCTAATATATTTCGTTCCCGCCCAGAGAAATCAAAAGACAGAGTCGAGGAGATTGGAAGAGTATATTTGGCGATGACCAATATATCTGAATTCTCTGATCTAATCTGGCTAGCGATTGCGGTTGATGTTGAGCACGGCGTAACCACACGTGATCTGGTGCGGATGCCTGACCGAGCGCCTTCAGCTAGATGAGTCCACTAAAACATATGGTCAGCATCCAATGTCGAAAACTTAGTGCTATTTATTTTGGGGATTTATTTACCGCTACAGCCCCATACTTTATCCAATAATTCAAGTCACTACTAGACCAATTATACTTGACTTAAGTATTTTCAAATGTCATGGTTGGTGGATCATTTCGTTCAAGATAAAGGTTCTATATGATTAACTGAACAAAATAAAGCATCCAAAATTCTATAAATACGCTCAACGTGTAACTTTACTAATTACATGTAACACATGCCGTCTTTGAACAAGTCCAGTGTAGCGTAGTTGTAGGAGTTTAATCATTAAAACGAATGTAGTGTACCTCAATTCATGGACGTAGTACCTCAATATAAATGACTCTTTGTTATTCTTCGTTCACCGCATATCACACATTGTATTTACGCAATTCCAGCAATTGATTTTCGAAATAACTGACATGAAATTTCTGGATTCACAATATCTCTTTGTTGAACGTAGACAAATATATTGACACTAGGTAGTGTGACAAGAAGAGAGCGTCCAACAAAAATCCCTACAGTATATTCATCGGACTAACATTGTTTCTTTTATAAATTAGTTGCATTCATCATTTTCCTTCATGACCAATATTGTTAGATGGAATAATTGTCTTCAATAGTGCCATGCTGAAGGTTAATCATGAGGGTAAAAAGAAACAAAAATTATACAATATCAACTCGCCCAAAGCATCAGTTCGCAGTTGTCTATAGGGTTTTATAATCTACGGCTTGAACAACGACGCAAGTTGTCCAGCAGCAGCCAAGGTCATGAAACTTTATGATCAGTGAAAAGAGCGTTTTACTACATAGAAAAACGTCTTAGCATTAGATACTACGAATTTCTAATAAACCCAAAGTTCCAAACATTTGGATAACGGCTTATTTGGCCACCTTTGGTAATGCTGTGCTAAATGAATTGTGTCGCCATGGTGATGTCAGCGGAATCATGCTGATCTCTGCTTCTGTTTGAACTTAAATGTCCGAAGCAGAAATATTATCCCCTATATGCAGGGAACGGCTTGTTAGTTGTCCAGAAACATTTGCTGTCATTGCTGTTTGGTTGGCTCATTTCCTTGGTTCCCAAGGTTTTTGCAGATGCATTTGTACGATCTTGCGAATTGCCGTGCCGTAGTTCCGTAATGCTCGCAGCATGGTCAGATCTCCGGGGATGGTATAGGTGATTTAGAATACTGCCTCGAAAATGGATTTTTCTGAAACACTATATAGTTCATCTAACGTGTACTGTAGATATAGTTGCTTGTAGTACTGCGAGCTTTTTAGTCATATTAAATAACTGCTGTTGTGATGCCATCATGTCATTGTTACGCGTTCTCTCAGTAGCTCGTACTGCATTTATACTGTGTACTCTGGGTTGACTTCTATCATCTGATTTGTCATATCTGCCAGATCCTCCAGAGTAATTAGTTCTCCTGACGCACGAAGAATGTCTCGCGTTATGGAGAGACCATTATAGCCACGTTTGTTTAAATAAACCTTCATCTAATTTATATGAGCCGACTGATTGCTTCATCACATGTTGTTAATGGACGTTTGTAGTCTTCTATTAGTCAGAAGCTGATTTATATTGGATGACTGCTACTTTGTGTTCACCATACGGGTCCTGTTCCGGAACCTAATAGGTTATGTCCCCGAATTCTGTAGCGATTTTAGCCGAAAGTGCACCTACTACGCGCACATAGTTTAATTGCTTGTGACTGGATATCCCATGCCAAAGCAAAGCTTCCAACTGCAAAACCAAATATTTAGGTTATTTGCCCCGTATTTTGATAGTGTGAACTGCCAAATTACATTAAGCATGGTTATTGTGAGTTCAGATATGTAGAGTAGTTCAGAAGAGACTTTAGCAGGAGAACGCTAAATTTTATCAAGATTATTAGAAACATACATTATACAGCGCTGGTACAACAATCATTATGACGAACAAAATTAACGTTACGGATCACCAAATAATTGTGATGGAGGGAATATATCAATTTCAACGTAATGGTAAAGTTTTTACAAAAAATGGTTCGCCTGGTAATATATCGAAATATAAATTATATACAAAGAAAGATACTGGACGTTAATTAAATTGTCTGAAGGAAGCTTGTTAGAGTTGATTTTTTGGTCTCGTAATCCACAGTCATAAATTGTCATTGATTCCAAATATGATTGGTATGGTCCAAAATGTGAATCAAGAGTAATCACATAATGAGAATATCAGAGCGACTGGCAAACAGCAGATATATTAGAGTTCTTTAATTGTGACATCTGGTAAATGAGAAAGAGAAGTATATGTGTTCAGCAGCGTATTTATGGGCGATAATCGATGTCACGCCATGAGAATTCAAAAGAGGAACAGAAGACCAAGGTCAAATTTTTAAACGATTTTACAGTCAATGGTGATAAGTGTAAAAATTAAGCGAACTTAAGAAAAAACATGTTATTAACAACAAAAACTAGTCACAAAATAAGTTTATGTTAACTGTTTCCAAGGCACCAAGGCACGGTACCAGAAATTTTGAAGCTGGCTCACATCATCGCAGTTTTCAAAGGGGATCGACTTAGAGAACCTTCAAACTGCCGACCGGCAGCACTTCTTTCAGTGCCTTAGGAAAGTGTGTAGTCCTTGTATACGACAGTCTACGTGACTACTTGTCATCTATAAACTTATTTTCATTGCGATAGCACGATTTCGGGAATGGTTGTTCTTTAATAATCGACCTGCTGACCGCTGTAGAGGAATGTGCAACTGTCCTTGATCTCAAGGGGAAGGTTCGTGTCACACACCTTGACTTCTCAGAAGCCTTTGAGAGTTTCAGTCATTTGTTTATTGTTGATAAGGTCAACCGATTGGGTATCAAGTCACCGTTAATTGATTGGCCTACTTCATACCTAAATAACTGACTTCTTACGGTGGGCATAAACTGTAATTTTTCTCGGGCTATAGAATTTCCTAGTGGGGTCCCTCAAGATAACTCACCAGGACCTGTTTTTCCCCAGTTTATGAGAACGATTTTCGTCAGCAGGTATTGTTTAATTGATTGTTTTACACTGATAATGTGGAACTCTAGAGAGAAGTTTGGCACCACGATGATAAACTGGCACTTCAGGATGATCGAACTTGACTTCAAAGTCGGGCGAACAACAACACCCCAAAGTGTAAACTAGTTCATCCGAGACATGTTGCAGACTATGAATACAACTTAGGCATCTCCCCTCTAGAGGTACCCAGTTTGAAAATGATCTACGAGTTCCGGTATCCTACGATCTGAAGTCGCACGCTAATTGCGACAAAGAAAGGCCTCCGAGTAAATCTTGCACTGGTATCTTTGAGGAACAGAAATTTCCGCCTAATCTTCAACAGTTTCATTCGTCCTCATTTAGAGTATGGAAACACAGTTTTTTCTTCTCACTCCAAAAGGATAAGGATACATTGGAACATATCCAATGACGAGCTACGAAATCAAGCAAGGGACCCAAATTCAAGCTTTTTGCAGAGCACCTCAAATCACTGAGCCTTTACCTGTTAGAGGTGACCTTCTGACGACTTATAGCACCTTAAACATTCCTGGGCACTTTCGAATACCTACTAATGCACAGTCCCAACGCAAACCTTAGGGGTAACAACCATAAACGAGGAATAACATAGCATAAAGGACTGCAGACACACCTAATCCTTAAGAGTGGCAAAATTCTAGAATCGTCTACCGACTGAACCAGTCCAAGAAACTTCGCAGGAATCCTTTAAGAGAAAACTTGACATATTCTTAAGGACTAATGACAGTATCTCGCTACAATTTTTTTTACTTTATTGTTAAATATATCTAGGTTTCTGCCTGGCAGAATCGGTGGTCCACTACTACTAGATATGGAGGCCTATTAAGTGAAAGCTTCTTCTATTCCGTCCAGAACTATTTGAAACCTTCAATTCACACTTAAACGTACCTCAATCAACCAATCACGAGTTGGGACGAATATTTCTCCTTGATTTCAAGGAGGGCAATTTGGAGCCGCAGGTTGTGATTCTTGAAGCCGACAGATCTGTTCGCGTCTACACAGGCGATAGACTGATGGAAGAATTTCAGGGTGCATTAAATAGCTTCCAAAAGGACTGGTTACAGTTGCAAGTATATTTACAACTGCGTTATAAACCACATTCTGGTAATTTTTTTAGGAAAAGCACTCATCACTGGTTATGTCACTGTACAAACTCAAGGAGGAAGAGACAAGTTGCGTCCGTAGTGTTAAACATTGTCGAAACTATATGAAACTTTTGAAGCATGAAATTGCAAGGTAATCTGTCTTTATCTAAAATTGGCAGTCTTCAAAAGAATGCTACGGGTGATGAGATTACCATACTTGAAAAAGCCAAAATCGATATTCTTAAGAAAGAGTATGTTTTACGGGATATTGAAGATGTTTTACCTCGTACACCAGGGTATGTAGACTCTGTGCGGATTTATTTAGATAGTTTGTATTTGCGTATCGTACTTGGAGCTCTTAATATATCGTTTGCAAACAAGGAGGACAAGTAATAACTAGGTTTTAGTAATGTGCTCAGATTCAGATACAAGAATGATTACGAACGGTTCAAAATCATTATTTCGGGAATATGTGCATTTTTGGCGTTTCTGCTATACTTTTACGTTCAGAATAGGTGAGTTCGTCGTTATGTCATTAAAGATAGTATATGTATTTCACTATTGTCAAATAATCATAACTTTTTCGCATCAAGTGTTTGGAAAAAGCTAATTCTGGCTGTACGCTGTTGCAAGTCTTAAACTTTGATAATAATACTGTGTGACCACTTTGCGGCCTGAAGAAGTGTTAAGCACATCGTCACTCTCACGCCCTAGTATGTAATCTAATTGCGAAAGCCTCCAGTTGATGTTCGAAAGGCGTGGTTTGAAATACTTTTGTTAAAATAATCTCTCAGTTATTCATAGGAAAATATCACCCCGTTAATTCTTCAGCGGACATTTTCAGATGCTTATATGGTGTATCAAGATCCTCTTTCGTTAGATATCAATTATTCTGATGATAGCGTCTATGGGATTCCTATGTAAAATCACTGACTGAATAGACTGGGTCACATTAGGATGCATCAATAGTAAATACCCAACCTTAAGAATTGACTTCATAACATCACCTTAAATATCTCCGCTACAAGGAATTTATAATTGAGGAAGCATGGTTCATTACGGTCCTTCTGATAGAATTAAGTTTAATCTCCTTTGTAATGTTTAGTTCTGTCACTGAGTGGATGACGATATCTTGTTTACTCCAAAGTTATGATCGGATTACATGCAATAGTTGTTCAAGTAATGGCAAAAAATCATCGGACATAGTTATTGTCTCAACACTTACTTTACCGAACATTTCCAAGGTCAGAAGCGTTTATGTACAAGCTGTTCAATAGGTTCAAATCTTAAAACTTTTCTGCATAAATCTCTACAACATTGAGTGCCGAAATCTGACTACCTATCACGAAGGTCGCTAATTAAGGTCTTTGTTCGTCCCGTTGCCTAGATCCTGGTTCAGCAAATACTTCCGAGACTTATTAGCTTATAAGGACCTGTCGAATTTTAAGAAAAAGGGTTTCAACAGGTTCTGGTGGCAGTAAGTGCTAATCTTCTTAGAACTCACAAGTACTACTTGTTTGTATACTCCACTATGACCTTAATTTGTCATTAAACTCTGCTGATACAAAGATTTTGGAGCCACTGATATAGGTAGGATTTAAGGATAACTATGTAGTAAAATATTTTTGAACTTGCGTCGTCGTGACTGGATCATGGCGAGTCATTTAAGCTGATGACACCCAGTAGTTTTGGACAATGATGTCGACCTTCACTTTTTAATTTTACTTCTCATAAAACCTAGCAACATTCTGATAAATGCTGTACAGCATTCTCTATTGTGTTATTGTGCAGGTATGTGACCTGGGTGTCGTAAGTAGATGATCTTAAAAGACTGGAAACTTCCTGCTGTCTTGGAGACCGAGTTCGCTTTTCACCTGTCTAAGTGTTGATGTTCAGGTAGCCTTAAAACCAACTACAGTGTATCCACTAATGTGCCTGATTTCCAACCACACTGCATGAGGACTATAAACAATATGAGGCTTCAAAACACAATAAGGTAGAATGGATATTAAATCTACATTGAATCTAAATTTAAATCTTAATTGATAGGGGAATCTGCTTAAAATGTTGAACGTTAAAAAAGGAAGAGAAGCTAACTTTTTAACGTAACTTATGCATCCCTAATCACTTGAGGTATGAGTTTTCCTAGTATGTTGTGGAGAGCATTTAAAGTTATCCATAATTCCTATATCATAATACGGTTTTCCGTATAGTTTGGTATTTTTCACTTCTTTTCATCTGTTAAATTTGACATACTGCAATATCTCTCTACTGTACAAGGGTTTATGTTTCTGAATAATGTATGATCCTATACTCAGTTCAGTTGAAAGTAATGACTTCGTTGACAATTATTCATAGCCAACGTTAAAACTTGGTGGATATGTGTACCAGAGTATTTGGTAAATGAGTTAATCATATGTGCAATTAATTATCTTGCTGTCAATTTGTCATTTGTTTTTAGAATTGTGGATACTATTTTTCATTTTCTATTGGTATGGTACTATTGCACACTAACTATTCGCGAACGCATTCTTATTGCCAATGGGTCACGCATTAAAGGGTGGTGGAATATATCTCATTTTATGTCAACAGCCTATTCTGGTATTATGCTTATCTGGTGAGTGGTATTCGAGTTAGTTGTAAACTATCGATTGATAGCTTAATAAAAATATTTCTCTCCCATCTACTTTGAAAGGCTATTTTTTGTATGCATTCAAGCTCTATGTCATCGTAGTTTGGTGTAATTATATGGATTATTCTGTTTATTTGATCATGTCTAATGTTAATAGATAAGAGTGCTTAACTTAGTAGCTAGATATTGAATACTTACGTATTAGAAGTCGATTAGTAAACTGTTGGACTAAATTTTATTCAAGGTAGAAAATATAATATTGGTTAATTAAAAGATATATTTTTAGTTAACGCTGATAATTGTATTATATTTCAAGCAAATATCTAATCCTTAATCCAGGAGGGGATAGATACCTTACATTTAGATCATTTGGTTATTTATCAGATTCACTGGTTGTTAATGTGTAGCTAATTGCAATCTATAATTAAGTTATATCCTCGTATCTTCATATCCTTTTAATTACATTCTAGGCCTAGATCTCGTTCGTATGATGAATTTCGTGATCAGTTCATGCTTTTTTGCTTATACCTAAGTAAGTAATGATTTCAATAATTTGAGATTTAATCTGATGATATTCATCTGGATATAATTCTTTGCTCGTTTGTCTTTCTAGGCTGTTTTCAGACGGATCCAGAATACTCAGAGAATATAGTCCTGTTAAGTGAAATGGTTGGAAAGTACGGTTTTGTGAACAAGTAACAGTATATAAGTGTTTAGGGTGTATTTTTCACTCAACAAATACGGTGTTGTTTCAAGACTAACCTGTGTCAGTTTTATTTGTGTTGGTCAGTCGGTCGCAATGTAGAATCTGGTGCGTATGTACGTCAGTCCAAGTTTCCACACCCCATTAGCAGAGCGAGGTGTTGTTAGACCAAATCCCAGAATAGTAAAGGTACTAACAATATGAGTAGTGTTTAAAAATATTGGGCATCGAAAATACTAATAGAGAATAAAATATAAATTAGTGCGACAAAAAGATTACGAGGAATTGAAAAGCTTAGGATATGAGGGAAGACAAAAAATAGATATGCCTGTGCCACTACAAACAGTTTTAAGCTATTTCATTCAAAGTCTAACCACTGGTTAAGATGATCACTCGGACCCCAAAAGAGTAGTCTAAACCCATTAACACGAGTCAGTCTAGTTGTTAATGACAATGAACTGATGCCACGTTTCTGTTTGACCACCCCTAGCTTTCTTCCAGCTTGCTCGTACACCAGACAAAATCATTCGTCGAGATATTTGGCTGTTGGGCACACGTAACATCTGTCCTAACCACCTCAGTTGATAAATATTTATAACCCCAATTGACTCCCCATCTTTACCTAGTATCCTATTCCTGACCCAAACGTTGGTTACTCGGTGGTCCAAAAGTACATGGACAATGCTTTGAGGACACCTATGGTTGAGTACTAGTAATCTACGAATGTTATCTATTCGTGATATTTCGCACTCACAAAGTAGAACAGAGTAAACTGTTGTACAGTGAATTCGTCCTTTAGTTGGGAGATGGATATTTCGCCTACGCCACAGGTGATGCAAATTGGAAAGAGCCAATCGTGCTTTTGGTATCTGTACCAAGATTTTGTCAGACACCAGGCCATAAGTACTGATGAGACTCAAGATCAGTGAGGCGGTCGATACGCTCGACTATTTTGCCTCCTGTTATTAATTCAGGCGCTGACGCAAGCCAGTCCCGGAGCAAAATTTCGCTTTTGGGGTGCGAAAATCATATCTTAATGTGGTCATGGGACTGTATTTCGTTAGTGTTTTAACCAAACAAAACTATATTATTTGTGTACTCTAAGTCTACAAGTGAATTTACTAGCATAAGATCAACCTAAGGAAAATCGGATGATGAAAATGTTGTCTATGACAGAGTTAAATAAAAATGGGTAAAGCGGAAAACCTTGACGTATACCACTTAAAGTAACCAATTCGTATGACCGTTCATCATAATAAGCTCTGACTCAACTAGTAGTGTTCCAGTAGACAGCCCACACAAGGTTAATGTACTTCTCTGGTATGTCTTTTAATGACAGACACTGCCACAGAACCTCACGATCAACAGAGTGTAACGCTGCCTCAAGGTCAAAGAATATAATTATGGTCTGACGTCGAAAAGTATGTCTATGTTCCAGAATCTGCCGAAGGTCGAATATTCGGTGTTGGCGAGATATCCATCTGGTAGCCAATAGGCGTGTATAATGTTCAGCAGTCCGGACTATATCATGTTATTGCCTCCGTCATGGTCTCTAAGAGTAGAAGATATATTTTCTGAATCAGTTTTTTGACTATAGGTGTCTTCGAAACATTGCTAGCGTTTTGTGGAACGACTGAGTGAGGAATCCTGAGGTGTTAAGTGTAGGGCACTTGACAAAAGTGGGAAATCAATTCATGAGGTTGTAAACCTTCAGCTACTGTGGTGGTCAGAATATATGTTACGTGTGCCTAACCGCTGCCTACATCGACTATCGATGGTTGTTAGTTTAGGAGTAAGAGTAAGTTGAACGAAAGCTAGTGGCAGTCAAACCAAAAAGTGTCGTCAGTCCGTGAAGTCATTGACCGTTGGTCTAAGCCGTGTCAGTTGGTGCAGACTACTTGATCGGCGCCTGCAAGACATTCACAATCAGTGATTGGTGACTGTAAGTCACACGGCTCAGTATCATTTACATTCGCGCGGACTGATCCACTCCTTATCTTCCTCTAGATCTTATATTCAATTATTCCTTCATACATGCTTTCCCATTTCGTCTTTTTGAACCCTATTCTCAATCTCTTGTCTTTCTCATTGCCATTGACACCACATTCCTCAAATCTCTTGCCAGTCATCTTGTTAGTTTCATCTTGTCGTGCTAATTCAGCATGGGAACTTGACCAAACGCACATCTGTGTTAGACTCTATGTTGATAATGACTGACTGTTGAGTGAGTGTTTCTGTTTTTGCCATTATCGTCGTTCTTCAGCAAGAAGTCTTTGTAAATAACGCCTTTATTGAAATTTTCTTGACCATATGACCAACTAAGCATAGGAAGGACTATTACATCTTTTGGCCATTCCCTCGTGATATCATACATCATGTGGATAGTTTAGATGGGTGACGTGTGTGTTTTCTATATATAGCGATCATGTCCACGTTGGTATCTGATTCGCTAAAGTATTTTTAAAGTTGTGATCCTATTTTGATGCACTACATTGCGTTAGTATTAACGAATAAAATCTTTATCATTTTACATATATTTTCATCTTACTGATCCGACTGAAATGAAATCAGACGTCCTAACCTCATAGAAAAGGTATACCCAAGTTACAATTGTATTTTTGATGTATTTATTTTCCCGACTGCCGTTCAGACTACAATCTACCAATTTTAAATAAAAAAGTTTGGTGTTCTTTATTGCTGTCAGGTCAGTGTACCTTATAGATTGAGATACTGACTTAGATTGTTAATCAGTAAGTTGTACCGAAGGAGATAATGGTGTTCACACAGCTTCGTTGTCATTAAGTGCGTGGTGTTCTTATTCACATTTCTGTTTTGAAAATTAGTTAATCATTGATAATTCTTAAAAATTTATATTTTATAGTCAGTGGAAAGGTAAAACAGAATTGTTTTTACTCATGTGTTTCGTTATTTAGTGCTAATAACTTTATCAGAGTACTATTCATTATACTAATTAGCAAAACGTTGTTAAGAACACAATTTTGCTTTGTTTTTTCATCAATTGGATAATACAAATTTCTAGTGATAATACCACTCTCCCAATGCCCAAATTTTTTTAAACCATTAAATCATCGATAATAATACTGAAAGTTCCTATTTTCAGATGAACAAAAAAAAAAACAAATAGGTTCACTTTAAATGATATTTTCTTGTTTGTATTGGGTCAGTCATGTATAAAGCGGGGTATGGATTTGATAGTTATTAGAAATAAATAGGAAATTGTTAATATTCTAAGAAGCGATTTCACTTTATTATGTATATATTCAGAATTAGAAACCATCGTCGTAAGAGATGTTGTTTGTATAGTGATCACAATTTTTCCGTCATAAGTCCGTGTTTAGTTAAGATATCTGTACATTAATCATCTGTAATATAACCAAAATAGATTGTACCGTATATCGTGGATGTAATTAACATTCTTTTGAATAATATAGGCCTTGCACTATTTGTTTATGTTTGATATAATGGGCAAGAATTGGGCTTAATTGACAAGTCTTAGTTCATTGGAGAGTGAGTAACCTGCAAAACTAATTTCCTCTAATCGTTTAGGACATTTAACTATATTGATTTTTCGGCTAATAATTTATAATGAACCATATTATTTTGTTGAAAAATTCCTATCCTTCTGACTGGTCTTGTTTGTAATATCAAATCGTCCGAGGCCTTACGTTAATAATTCGGTCTCATGAACAACTATCACTTGGCCATATTGTGTAATTCATTGGATATTATGCATTAGTCTACGTTTTTTTATTTTAACAATCGAAAATTGGTTCGTGGAATCACACTGCATATTACTGTTTAATTTTTCTTTTTCAATTTCGAACAGTTCCTTAGCACGTATTCGTTTATTTATCCCCTTTCTTCCCTGTTGCTTTTTAATATCTTTCTTCTGCTTACTTCTCTAACAGTCTATGTTCTATTGATAAATGTTGAGCAACTGGAAAGAACTGTACACTTTTTGTGGTTTGTCTCCCAGATTCCTGTATCTCCTGCAATAATTTTTGCTGATAATGTTTTTTTTCTTTTACAGATCTTGTTCATTTTATACAATTTCAATATCAAATAAGTTGCCTGTATAAACTTCGTACTTTGGGTTGTCGACATCCGATGGATATAACTGTTGGTAAATTAATGGACTTTATTATTTATTTTGAAGTATTTTATTGACTTTTGTGAAAGTATTTATATTGTATCGTCATATATATGGGTGTACAGTAGGACGTGGTTGTATATTGAGATTATCTATTTGACTGAGTTTGTGGTCTATGTTCAATGTTGATTGTGTGAACTATGTTCTATGATACATTATTATACTTAAATCAGTCATGTAATACAAAGTGTCTGGTTATTTAGTGTGATTGTAAGTTTTGTTCCTTATGGATTAAATCAGTGAATTGATAAGATTTACGATGTGCTTTCATCGGGTTAAATCGGTTGAGATTTGTTAACATAAAGTTTCCCATCTCGATCTTTCGATACTGGCCTACTCAACTGAGGAGAAATTTTCTGAGACGGCACTGTTCAATATCTGTAATCAAAGTTTTGTAATTTTTACTTAATGATAGTACGTTTTGACATAGAATCAATTCTATCAGGTAATTTTACTTTGAACCACTGTCAGATGGTGTTATAACTTGTGACAGCAGATTAGAGCGCAGCAAATTATCGATCGGACCAAAGACGCTTAAACACATGAGAACAACCTAGAGTCCTGATTGGTTCTGCTTCCCTGTCTAGCCCAGCCAGTTGAGTCCAGAAAGCAAGTCTCATTATATTTTAAGCATAGTGAGTTTATATTTGAAGCAAGTAAAGTAGTTTCCAGATGCCCAAATGACTTACCTCCGGCTCTTTTTAAAGATGGCGGTGACTTTCTGACTAAAAAATTGACGACGTTGTTTACAAAGGTTTGGGAGCTAGAGAGTGTACCGACGTCATGGAATGAATCGATAGTTGTCCCTGTCTTTAAAAAGGGTTCACGTCGTTCCTGTAACAACTATTGGGGGATAAGTCCACTTCCGATTGCGTCCAAGCTATTGGCTTCTGTCATACTTCGTAGGTTGTTCAAAACCCGAGAAAGATTGACTCGCGAGGAGCAGGCTGGGTTTCGTTCTGGTCGAGGATGTATTGATCATATCTTCACCCTCCGCCAAATGTTAGAACACCGTCATACTTATCAAAGGCCAACAGTCGTAATGTTTCTCGACATCAGGGCTGCCTTCGATCCGTTGGACAGGACTGTTCTCTGGGATTGTCTATTGAAGAAGGGTGTGCCTGAGAAGTTTATTAACATCCTAAAAGCCCTGTATAAAAACACCTCAGGCAGAGTGAGGGCATACAACCACCTCTCTCCATTGTTCCATTCGAGCAGTGGGGTTAGGCAGGGTTGCCCAATCTCACCATTCCTCTTCAACTTTGCCATCGATGACATTCTGGAAACAGCTCTGATGAATGTAAGTAATGGTGGTGTGGATCTGTTGCCTGGAGAAAGACTTCTCGACCTTGAGTATGCGGACGATATTGTCTTACTGTGCGATAATGCTCAAGGCATGCAATCCGCACTTAATCAGTTGGCAATCAGTGTCCGTAGGTATGGTATGTGCTTTGCACCTTCGAAGTGCAAAGTACTTCTACAAGACTGGCAGGATTCCAATCCTGTACTCACCCTGGATGGTGAGCAGATAGAAGTAGTCGAGAAGTTCGTGTATCTGGGTAGCTGCATAAGTGCTGGTGGGGGTGTGAGTGATGAGATCAATGCACATATAGTGAAAGCCAGAGTGGCTTATGCCAATCTAAGCCACCTTTGGCGCCTTCGTGATGTTAGTCTGGCTGTAAAAGGTCGAATCTACAACGCGTTGGTGAGGGCAGTTTTGTTCTATGCTTGTGAAACCTGGCCTATCCGAGTTGAAGACGTTAGACGACTCTCTGTGTTCGATCATTGCTGTCTCCGAAGGGTTGCTGACATCCAGTGGCAACACCATGTCAGTAATGCAGAGGTTCGTCATCGTGTGTTCGGGCACAGAGATGATAATGCAATCGATATCACCATCTTGAAACACCGACTTCGGTGGCTTGGACATGTTCTCCGAATGTCGTCCCAGAGAATTCCACGTCGTGTGTTATTTGCCGACTCTGGGACTGGTTGGAAGAAGCGGAGAGGTGATCAGTATATGACATGGTGTCGTAGTATGAAAGAAAGCTGCAAAGGACTGGCTTCTGTTGGTCCTTCACGACTCCCTGGTTGGGGTCTGAAAGATGGTGCTACACAGTGGCTAGAGACGTTATCAGATATGGCTCAGAATAGAAGCCAGTGGCGATCCTGCTGTAACCTTCTTTTACTTTCTTCATAAAAAGTGGTTGTGTCTCCCTTAACTGAAAGATTTCTTCTGATTGTACCTTTCCGTTCCCTCATTATTACTATTATTATTACTACACTACCTTACACCAACCTCTTCGTTATTGTTCCTTTTTTTCACGCTCCTTATCTTTCTTTTTCTCTTCAAGTTCTCATTGTTTTGTGTGGCGCATATATATTGGCGCTCTCTTGTACCAATATTTATGTGTTCAAATGAATAAATAAATAAATACTGAGTTTATATACCAAACACTGACCACAACGTACCAATAAAATATGAACAACATTTTACAGGAATTAGCCAGATGTGGTTGTGAATGACGGAGGTAGCGATTAACAGACAGGGAATAGTTCATGAATGGTAAATCGTATGATAATAGTTCATAGGTCAAAATAAAGCTCATAATAAGAGGGGTATGAATATGAACAGTTTAGTTACATAACAATTATACGATAAAAACATACTCATAATATTGGTCCATAAATGGATCCCAAAAATTACTATTCATTATTCCTATCGGGATACAACAGATGGTGTTAAAAGACATCAATGAGGTTTTATGCCATTTATTAACACACTGAGGTTCAAGACATTGACATGATTTTGAGTCTTCATTGGTAAACTGTTCATTGTTAACGTTATTTTCTGTCCTTTTTTTGTATGTTGTCTTTCCCTGTTTTTGATTTTTGTATTCTAAGGTATTTCAGAGTGGGGCAACCGAAATCAATTGTAGTTAAAATTATTAAGTCATGTTTGATATACTTCTTACGTAATATGCTAATTCATTCCACTGGATAATTTCTTTTCACAGATGGTTTCATGTCATGGATGTTTCGTCGAATCACGTTCGTCCTACCTTTCCTATTTGTAGTATACGGTTTTGAACTATACATGGCTTATAATCTTTACGTCATATCCCAACAGAGCTATTGTCACGAATGGCAGGTCAGATATTATTTAAATGTTTGCAAAATTACTTAATATAAAACTGATATCTTATAAATACATACAGGCCAAGTGGCAAATGTGATTACATTTTATCAGCATTTAGTGACCGAATCCATTTTATTGGGGGTTAAAAGGAACGAAATAAAACTAAGTAACACAAAGTTAATATTAATATTTGTTAAAGTTCCATGCTTGTTATTAATTAAGCGTATTTATGCTTCTTAAGATCCACGAATAACAGAAAGCAGCTTCAATCAATCACAGATTGTGGTCTAACTAGATTTGCACTATACATTCAATTGTAGGTGTTCTATTTGTTTCACAATATTCCTTTTCAAAACTATGTTTTATTTAAATAATTGACAAAACCTGTGTGGTCTTTATTGTCTTTTGTTGAATTTTTCTGTCTTTATCCATCAGCGTCAGATTTTTATGTAGGAAGTGGCATATTAAGCTTTTTTCACCAAACATCTTTACCTTCGTAACTGTCCAACGTTTCAGCAAGTAGACTTCTGAAAAATACTATAATGCTTAGCGACCTACCAGGTTTTCCGAAAGCTTCAGTAATACGATTAGAATGTTGGATAAACTTTAGTACGATAGAAATAGTTTGTACCAGCCTACTGTTAGCGGATATATATGGAGATTTTCTTGGTCTCTCTAATAGTTTCTAATCCGATTTTTCACTTGTCAGACAATGTCAACATCAGTGGTTCGAACAGCCATCTACTTCATGGATCATCTCAGTCTATTTAGCTGGCCGCTTAAAGCTCTTTCTCTACAGTTAATTTTGAAAACCAAAGTAAAATAGTCAATTTCTTATTAGAAATGATTGACATTCTAAGCACTTCAGCTGGTTGATATTCACATCAGCAACCCACTCTCTTCATTCCACTTAAGACTCTACACCTAAATTCAATATTTTTTACTTACTAGTCATAAAACATTCCAGCAATGCTTAAGTAGATTTGTTTGACTCACTAATCTATTCTCCAACTTTTATTTACTTGTGCATACCAAATAACTAGAGGATCATTTTAATACTTAACGACAAACAATCTCTTTAGTGGTGAGTTTTGTTGTGAATCGTATTTTACCTACATTACTGTCAGTTATCAAAAAATTCAATCTGTAACCTAAAAGAGTACAAATGAACCGACTCAACTCATTTCGCAAATTGAGCACAGTTATTTTGTTTTTTAAAATACCTTTTTCATCTTAAGTGGTTTTTTACAGTTGTCTTTTATTATGTTATGCTAATTAATCTTGTATTTAAATAGTGATGTTTATAGATTTCACCTCAGCCACTTAGTTTCACAACATCTTCGATTTACACCCAGATGGTTTTTTCGGATGAATCACTGGTTCATTTTAGAATGGATCATAAGGATTTAACATATATCGTCTGATGTTTCTTTCCGTACGATGTCGATCTTGGGACTTAATAATAATAACAATAATTCTAGCGGAATAGCATGAATCCATTTTATTTTGTTGGTTTTCGTCAGCCGCTTAAAGCCCCTAATATTTAAAAATCATAATTACAAAATGGGTTTAAATTAATTACATGAGAGAGTTTAGTCGGAAGTCATGTTGAAAACATATTAGCATAGCAAGGGTGTAAACAAATTTAATAGACTGAATATTGTAAATATATACCTCATATAAAAGAAAATTCCACAACATTGATTGTGACAACAGTTCAAATGGCCAGAAACAAGTGATTACGTAATGAGTAAACGCCGATAGGAATAAAATGAGTAAAGCTCAGTTAGTAAAATAAGATTACTGATCTGGAAGATAGTTGAAATAAAAACTCAATGATGTAATAAATGCAAGAAATTTAGAAAAGTTTAAGATGTAACAAAGGTATATTTGTCGCCAATCCAAGGAAAAATTAATAACCATCTCATTTTGAACACGTAAATCAGGTTTTTGACGCCTGACAGCAACAGCTTCAGCAAACTTCAGAGTTGAGTTTGGCTGCTTATTAATCACCTTGACAAATTGAAAGGTATCGACCTGATGTCCTGTATCCAAGATATGTTTGGTAATTGCACTGTTCAGAGTCGTTTTTTCTCTTGTTGCAAGGCTTTTTGGAACATGCTCAAAAAACTAAAATATACCCTCCTTTCTGTTCGGCCAATGTAGCTGCTTTGGTAGGTACACGTAAATGTATAAGTACAGTTGGCATTAACGTGAAAGGGGTACTTGTCAACCTTTGATTAGGTTATTGAACATGTTGTTTTATACAGAATTAATGGTTTGGTTGCCGGCTAAGTTCTGGCTAGTGCAGTGTTAAGCCTCCTGTTGATTGTGCTTGTGACGTCATCACCTTTGAAGTTGAGATTTATGGATATTGGTTTTTTATTGACTGTAATCACTTCCGTCTTGTTTTCTATAGGTTATAAATATATATTTGATAACAACATTTTCATGTTTTATTACTATTCACATTTATCATACTGTACTAATAATCTCCCTTTGATGTAAGTTTCATTTCAACAGTATTATTTCATTAAAATCATAAGCCGATTTATGTTAAATCATCATTAAAAATCTAAGCGGCCGTTTTGTCCTAGTATGGAGCTCCTCAACAGTGTGCATCAACGACTCCACACGCACGAATTGAACTCATAATCTCCGGTCTCGTACGTGAACGCTTAATCTCTAGACCACTTAGTTGGGATCAACAACCCTATACTAAAAATAAATTTTATTATTTTTTGTTTAGCTGTAAATATAATTAGTGAATTACATACACATTTTCTTTTCGACCAACGATGATCATTCTGATAACTTACTGTATAATGGTTATAATGTATTTTCTATTAAAGGTACCTGCTGTATCAATCATTTATTTCATACTAGCAATGGGCAGTATTGTGACAGTTTTACAAGTGATACGTCAAAAGATTTGTGCACCACCACCTATTGTACTTCATGATCATTTAACGAAAAAGTATAGTTTTGCTGTACCAAATGAAAAATTTAAGGCTTATGACGAATTCGGTGATAATGATGATACAACAACAGAAAAGGTCATCACATAATTATCGTGTATACATACTTGCTGAATTGAAATTTTGTGTATCATTTATTATGAAAATGTTTCCCTTCTGTTTTGTAAAGAAAATAAAATAGAATAATTTATAGCTGATCTGTTTTCCAATAAAAAAGGTGTCTGTGTTGATTCCTGTAATTCCTGTATGTGTTTTTAATATATGCTATTGAAAATATATGATTTACACATTTCTGTCAACTCAATTTCTTCTGTTTGCATACTTTTTTTTAACTCTGCAACATTCTCTCCGACGTTAAAAAGCGAATTAAAGTTACATTTTTATTATACATTTTAAGTTTCGTCTTTTACAGTTGACGTATACAGATATTTTTCTACTATGTATGTAGTGCTGTGTATATGACGATCATCCTTTCTTTTGCTTCGCAAGCTAATTTTATAGTTGGCTATCATCATTGAAGAACAAATTTCCTTATCTATACTCACTAAGCATTTTTATATTTGATCCAGATAAACAAGACATTGGACATTTTATTACCTTCACTACTTGTTTATTCAGGTAAATTATAATATTTTATTTTCAAAGATGTCATACTTCTATGAATTTGGTGATCATCTTTTTGAGCTAATGGAGTGAGGCAACTTGGAACGATGCATATATGTGCCTGGTCCTACGTTGTAGCTGACTGACTCATACTTAATGAATTATTTATATTACATAAGCTTGGATACTATGTATTTTCCTCGTTCTCCTAATTTATTGTATACATTATTATTGTACATGTTGTTTAGCTTGTATATTTCCAATTAGTGTTTTTTTAATTCACATATTTTGATAGTATGAAAAGCGTAGTTTCAAAAATTTTAAATGTCAAAGTATATTCATTTCATTAGTTTAATGTTGTCTTGATGAAAAAAGAATATATTCTATGACCTAAATGAGGTTTTCTCTTGTAGAATTAAACATTCAATATTTAAGTCATTGCTCCACACTAGTCTTTTATAACACTGTTCATATCCACATGTGTGAAAAAGTTCTTGTTATATCCGCGCCGCTTATTATTTATACTTGAAAAATACTAGGAATCAGGACGCGAAGTAAGAACATGAAGACTAGTACAAGTGAAGATTTATCAATCCCAAAACAAGACCACCTTAATTGCAAATACACTCAATATATATTGATTAGACACTCATTTTGATTATAAATTAAAATAAAATCACAGGAATAGAGAAATACCCAGAGTAATAGCAAAATCACATGTCTGTCAGGCCCAGCATAGTTCATGTGGACTTAATACAAGAATATCGTATCTTAAAGTGACATCATTCTCTATTAAATTAATATTATAACCAATAACATATCACAGTGAAAACTAAAAACGAATATTACATCACATTAAATTAATTATACGGAAGTAATTTTGAATAGAAGTAACAATGAGTAAAACGCATTAATCTTGTCTTTTTCATCCCGTCATATCAGTTTTAAAGGATAAAATAAAACTACGTTTGTAAGTAGGGAATTTCTTAAAATTACGATCTAACTTACAGACCATTTTCTTTGCTCAATGAAAATACAACCAGATTCTTAACTATGCTTTCCTTGAGATTCAGGCTAGCTTTAAACTTTAGTCGTTAGTTGTAATAATATTCACACAGGTACAAGTTTCTTGACTTACAAATCGTTAGATAATATTTAAATGCTTTATAGAGCCGAAAAGGGCTGGGAGTCTTGTATGTATGAACACCGTTGATATTCGCTTCAATATGATCTATTCAGAATCTGGATTTGAAAAGAGGAAAAACACTGTATAGCGTTTCAGTTATAACTTTGTTGAGAGTTAGAAATGCAATAATAGCTTGTACGATTGAAAAGACCCTGTTGGTTACCTAGATGTCTGTCCTTTGTTTTTAGACTACCCGCCCAAATATTGGATTTTGTTGCTTGGAACAAAATTTATTTGATACATGACTGCTAGATGTATATTGGTTGTTGTTAAAACCCGTTGGTTGAACCCTGTCTCGAACTTGTTGGAGTGTATGCCGAGTTAAAGAAGATGCATTAGTAGCTTTCAAGTTTTGAATTTAATGAGACCTAGTCTGACTGCACATTAACAACGACCAAATCGACAGGTATCATTCCGGACCAAGGGTTTGATGGGACAGTAGTAAGTTGGAGAATATATTCATAGCAGTTTACTGAAATCCGGGATATGAATCTTTGGGATACGGTATAGATCGATGATAAGAATTTTTACTTCAGTATAGCACACAGTTTTATAATAGTGGCATCATGTCAGATTAAATGACAATGACTGTCTTTCCACCTAAAGTGATTTAAAGAAATCAGAATTTTCACTAAAGACGAGATGATTAATAAGAATCAATATAAAGTAAATACAAATCGTGTAACGGTAAAAGGATGTTCTACTGATTTTAAAAAATATCGACCTGGTAAAATGGTGTACTCAAATATATACATTCATATTCAAATGTTATTGTTACTAGTGAATCAAATTGTCATTAGGAGAATCTGGTGCGAAAAGAACAAAAAGCAGCAAAACAGTTACAGGATCGTGAATAGTTGATAAGATTTTCAGTGTTCACCTTTATTGTACCCTTTGCAAATTAAGGTGTTGGATACACAAATCAGGGTTGAAAATGTGAATACTATGAACTTCACAGTTTAAAGCCATTTTACGACCACACTTTATAGATCCTGGTCGCTTCGTGTAAATAATGCCAAAAGTACACAATGAATCAGTGTAAAACCAAGAAACGATTATGATTCGTGTCGGCGGCACATGGTGTTTTTTCTCTGCACAACCATATCAGTATATGTTCGGCTCTTCATTCGGGAAATACTGAGTCCAGTGAATTAATCTTGCTCAAAAGCATCAGATAGACTCGGAGATACGTATGGAGGTTGTCAGACTTTGTATTTCATCCTCTTTTATATTTGAAGCAATGGCTATATGAAGAGAATTAATCGGAATTTAACCGAATAAGCTGTCTTTATCAGAGGTCGAAATGTTCGACTTTCCATTAGCCATGACACAAAGTCTCTATTGAACCACAGATCCATGGGAAATGTTTTCTTAAGTACCTGTAATGAAAAAGTTTTAATGGATGTAAATCTCATGGAAAAGTTTCTTTTTTTACTTAGTAGAAATTTTTAAGTTGATTACCAAATGCTGGTTTTCCAATGTAACAATGTTTTCTCTGAAACAGTAATCAATTAAAAGCTCAAAAGATGTGACATCAGACCTAGGGATTATATAATCGCTTAGTTATAAATTTGTTACATAAGAATAAAAATTAAGTTTGAAGTGAAACAGCTAGACAAGCGTTTAGTGTCATTTCAATATTTATTGAGAACTTAACGTGATCTATCTGTTTTAATACCTAATTTTCTTTGTACCTATTTTATTAATTAAACTAAACATTTATGTCCAAATGCTTCACTTCAAACTTACTGAATTCTTATTCTTATTTAACAAATTTATAACTAACCGATTATATAATATTAGGTCTGATTTCACATCTATTGAACTTTTAATTAATTACTGTCTTAGAGAAAACATTGTTAAATAGACCAACCACCATTCACTTTGTGACTGAATTGACTGTTAACCGCAATATATATATATATATATATATATATATATATATATATATATATATATATATATTATTAGATAATTGGGCATATTTTTTCTAAATAGTGTTATGGAAGATAATATCCATAATCATACTTTAAAATGACAGATATTAATCTTGAACATTGAATAAACACACACAGATGCAACACAGAACCGCTGGTCTGGTGCTCGAACACTTAATCTCTAGATCACTGAGCCGGTATTCAACGGTGTTATTGTCTGACTTTAATCGATCAGTGAATTCAACTTTTAAAATTACTACATTCTCCACAAACTCCCATTCTGATAATAATCATTATGTGCTCATGAGTGACTGGCTTTAAGATGAATTTCCTGGAGTTCTATTGAGAAGCCGTGACCAGTGTGGTCCAGTCTCTGTCGGTTAGAGATAGGTATCTACCTCACACAATGGATGAATGGTTGCGCAAGATCATGGATCTATTGAAGTCAGACAATAACACCGTTGAATACCGGCTCAGTGGTCTAGAGATTAAGTGTTCAAGCATCAGACCAGAGGTCCTGTGTTCGAGTCGCTTTGGTGGGAGATCATGGATGCGCACTGCTGAAAATTCCCATACTAGGAAGAAACAGCCATCCAATGCTTTCAGGTCTTCAGTGGTAGTATAGTTTATATCGATTCATGAATTCAACTATTAAAATTATTACACTCTCCACAAACCCTTCATTCTGATAAGAATTATGGTTCGTATGTATGCATCCATTTGGTTGTGAACATTTTTTTGATGAGTTGATCTGAAATAAACAATTAGTTTGGTTGCTAAAAGTAAATATATGTACATATATTGATTCATAGTTAGATTCAATTGAAATATAGGAGGAAATGTCAAATTCATTGGCGCTGATTGAATAAAGTATTACTGACATTGAACATTAGAAATAAATAAAAACTATAGAAATCAAACACATTTGCATTGAAAGTTGTTTTAATTCATTTTAGGAGGATATTATTATTTAATAGACACTATGCGCCCAAATATCTATTGATTGTTTAACCCTTCTATCTGTTATCACAATATCACTACATTCCTCTTTATGTATATTCTCTTGTATTTTGGACATTAATTATTTTATAATTCATGTGTTTCCAATTTATGATATTATTTCGTTGCATTGAATTATTATAAACAACACATTTCAGATTACCATGGTTATTACGAAATCATAAAAGAAACTCTTGATAGCGAAATACACTACGGTTACTAGTAATTTGACTACTCCATTAAGTCAGAATGGGTTTCGTGGAGATTTTTAGAAATTTCACTGGTTGAAATCATGAGTCAATTGAAGCTAGACCACAATGGGAAACCAGGAAGCACTGGACGGCCGTTTCGTCCCAGTATGAGACTCCTCAGCAATGCGCATCCACGATTCCGCCCCCCGCGGGACTCGAAGCCAGGACCTATCAGTCTCGCTCCAGGCGCTTAACCGACTAGACCACTGGGCCGGCATCCAACGGTGTTAATGTCTATCTTCAACCAATCCACGCAGGGGGGCGGGATCGTGGATGCGCACTGCTGAGGAGTCCCATACTAGGACGAAACAGCCGTCCAGTGCTTCAAGGTTTTTCATGGTGGTCTAGCTTTAATTGACTCATAAATTCAACCAGTGATATTCCATTAAGTAATAAAGTCATTTCATTGTTTTAATAATTTCAAGATTTGTAATTGGTATAACTGATTTTGATTCTTAAAATATTTTCTACTATAAATTTTTACAAAATGTAACATTTAGTAATAGAATTCATAATTATTATGTAACTTAATCCAAGTTATACGTTGTACTCTATACAAATATTAAGTGATGGAATTTATGGAGCTAATTCAATTTGATGATTGTTTCCATCACAGATTGATATTGACCTAAGAGTCTTTTGAAAACCAGATTACAATGAATAAATATTTTAAGCTTTATGCATTTACAACTATACGGTTGGGGGCAGAATATATTTAGTAAGTAGATTATATTATATGATAATATTGTATTAACATATACTTCCTGATTTTAATTGGTTGTCTAACTAACATCAGTTCATTATGTGAAACATCACATTCTTCTTTGGTTCTTCTTATTATTATTATCATTACATGGCCACTTTTAAACAGTCTATTTGACTGATAAACCACGGAATATAAAATAACTTGAAATCACAGATTACAAAATCAGTTTTTAATTCCTTACAGCACCTCATAATGAAATAAACATAATCGAATCTTTAATAAGAAAAGGAAAAACAATAATTATGCGCTATGATA